CTGTGGGGATTCAGTGGGAGGTGCACGGGGCAGTGGGGGCTGCAACGCACCCGCTCAGCCCCAGCACGGTGAGGTCCCAGTCCGTGCCCCCTGTGCCCCTTTCTGCAGCCTGCGCAAAAGCTCAAAGAAATCAATGCACAACTCTTCAACATTTTATTAATGATCAGCAACAAAAGTTTACAACAGAGAGGACATCAGACGCGGCATGGCAGGACCGTTCGGCACAGTGCTGGGAGCAGCTCAGGACACCACCACAGTGTCCTGGAATGTAAGAGGCAGAAAGGGGCTCAGCCCAGCACCCTTCTTCCTCAGGCCCTGCGTCTCCCTGCAGGGGCACATGTGCTGCACGTCAGCCCTCAGAAAACAGCCCTGAAACTCCACCTGGCCAGGTCCCACCTCAGGTAACTCACTGGGCACGAGGTGGACTGGCAGCAGCAGCAGACGGACCTCTGAGCAGGGTCCGCACAAGGCACCAGGTCCTGCTGCCTCCCAAACGGAAGAGCCTTGGGAAAAGCCCCTGGGGTTCCCACACCTCATGCAGAAAAATGCCTCGGCAGAGGGTCCCTGCACCTTCCAACCCCTCAGCAGCTGCTGGACACTGCCTGGCACTGCGGCAGCAAATGGGTGCCAACACTAATCACAGCCCAGAACCCTTACCCAGCTCAACCCAGAGTAGCTCTGGGTCTGTGCAGGGGCAGCAGCTGAGGACAGGCAGCACCTCCAGCAGCCAGCACTGACAGCCCTGAGTCCCTCAGAAAAGCTGCAGGAGGAACCTCGGGGGCTGTGTCCTCCCCCGGGGAGGCTGTTCTCGCCCATCTCTCCAGGCACCACCACCACAGCCCAAGAGGCTGCTCTGGAACACAGACCCTAGTCAGGACAGCCAGGCCTGGCAGGGCCTGGGCAACTGCTCCACTTCCCTCCTACTAAGAGCCAGAAATGGCAGAAGGTAAAAGCACATCAACATGTTAAAACATTAGTTATAATTAAAACCGTTTTTTGTCAAATCTCCTCCTGGGAAAGGGGACGGGGGCTGATTAACGGAGATAAAACTAGGCAGCAGGATGTCTGCATAATTGGTGCAGGAGGAGCTAGGACAGCGGAGGGTAGGACAGCACATCCCGGTGCCGGCAGCGCTGCCCCCGCCAGGGCTCCCTTCCCGAAGAGCTGTCTCTCCCCCCGAGGGTGAGGCTGCGGCACTGTGGCCCACGCACACACACGCTGCAGCCTAGTGCTTCTCCTCCTCCAGCCTCTTCATGGCCTCCAGCACAGCCAGCTCCTTCGCCTCCTTCTTCTGGTTCCGAGCTTCGAACTCCAGCCTGCGTCAACCACACAACGCCATGAGACTCTCATCCGTGCACACCTCAGAGACACAGCACCTGCAGCAGGAGAGCTCTGCCTTCTCCCACGCTGCTCTGGTATGAGAGCACTTCATAAACAACCCCCAAGGCCCCCAGACTTCCACAGCCTCAGCCACAGCTCCCCATGGCTGCTGCCATCACTCCGCAGTCCTGGGCTCCCACACTACTTGTTTCTCCCTCTGTGGAAGCAGCTGCTATTCCATGCTTGGGCTGTCCAGGGACAGACCTTGTAGTGCCATAACACCAAAACCAAAGTTACCACTGACCTGAGCCAAGGTCACTGAAGAGCCAAAAGCAGAGGTCTGAAAGAAGCAACATGCTCTTTCCCCCAGGATACAGCAAGGAAATTTATCATTAATAAAGGAGGAAAACTAATAAATGCAGCACATTCTGACACAGCAGAGTTCAGCTGTTCCTCTCCCTGTCCGGTCTGGTACACCCACATTTACAGCCTGCTCGAGCTATGGATGAGGAAGGACCAGCTCCCTGACTCTGTGCCTTTGGATAACCCCTTCTCTCCTTGTTTGATCCCAGACACACTGGATGGAACAGTATGCAACAACCATGAGATGAAGAAATCCAACCTGTTCTTGATGATTCTCTGCACAATTAAATCTGTGGTGAGGTCACTGCCGCTGTCCACCAGCTGGAAAATGCCACGTCGCTTCGGCTCCTGGAACAGACACAGCGCTGAGCTGTGGCACTGAGGGGTCTGGGTGTGCAGCTCAGCAGTGACAGCTGAGCCGAGTGGTAGCAGGTCCTGTGGCATCAGCCAGGCACGACGCACAGACACCACAGACACCTCCTTGGAGCCACAATCAACACTTGCTGAAAGCAAAGCTCCACACACACGGGAGCTGCCCAGGGTTGGCACAGAGCAAAGCACACAGCATTGCTCATCCTGCCGTGCAGGCATCAGAAACAGGCAGAGCAAAACAGTGCCTGGAAGAGTGGAGCTGCTGGGAATGATTTACAGGCTCTGCTCCATGAAGCCACCCTCAGGGGTGGATGAAAAACAGCATCACCTGCCGAGGCCCTGCCCAGGTAGCATCCCCTGCATTACACCTTCTCAACCCAGGAACACAGCCAGAGCCAGGCTATCAACAGCTGACAAAGATGCACAGACACAGCAGCTGCTGCCTTACCTCATATGGATCAGAACCGTCCTTGTCTGGCACCACCTCAGTCATCCCATGACACACCAGTGTTACCTGGAGAGGGACACGAAGTTGTTGACAAGCTCCAAAAGATGACAGGGACATTTATCCCACTGCTCCCACTGAGCACAACCTGAAACCCAGCAGAGCTACCCTCCTGCAGCAGCCTGGCAGTCCTGTGGAGCTCCCTGTAACCCACTGAGCAGCACCTCCCTCCTGCACCCTTCAGCTCCCCAAAAGCACATCACACACCAGCATCTTCGTGTCCCTCAGTATGCAAGGACTCACCCTGAAGTGCTCCAGCAGATCAGCAGTGACAGCGTAGGGAGCTCCAATCACCACCTCTGAGACGTACTAGAAAAAGAACCAGGCAGAGTTCAGGTTTGAAAAACAAGACCAGAAACCAACCCCAGGCCAGAGGGCAGCTGCTTCCAGAACAGACCTGGGCAGGTCATCTGGCCATGGAGTCAAGAACTCAGATAAGGGAACAGGGAAGTGAGTTCAGCAGCCACTGCTTGTCACACAGCAGCTTTTTGTTGCCCTAAAGAACATCCTTTCTGAGCCTAGAGAGCAAATCCAAAAAATTAATTGCTCAGGGCACACATTTCTGGGGCTCCCCATGTTTCTGTCCCAGGAATTTTCTCCCCTGCTGCAGGGAGCAGAGTTTTGTACCAGCACATGTCTGCCCGCATGGAGCTGTGCAGCCCCTGCAGCACAGAGGCCCAGCAGAGCCTCAGAGCTCAGCAGCACTTCTGGCAGTCTCAAGTGATCCATGCAGCCTTTGCCTTTTCAGGACACACCAAGAACTCATGTGAGATCACTGGGCACAGGTGAACACAACTAGGCTCCAGGGAATCTCACCCACTCACCCTGCAGGCCAAGACGCTGAGGGTTCGCTCGTGGATGTTCATGATGGGATAGTTCTTCCCTTTGTAGCGATTCACCTCCTGCGGTAAAGCACCAGGCACAGTTAGGAGGGAGGCAGAGCAAACCCCTTCCCTCTTGCTCTCTCCCAAGGTAAAATCCTGTACTGGCCAATACATCCCTGTCCTGTCTCCCACGGCACAGCCTGCCTGGCTGAGAACAGGGCCAAGCTGTTCTGCTTTTGGACAGGTTCTGCACGGACCTGATCAAAGTGCAGCCCAGCAATGATGTAAGGTTTCTCTGCCAGCTGGTGAACCTTCTCCAGGAAATGTACATGCCCAACATCTGCAGATCTGTTTAAGGAATTGAAGCTCACATGGAACACAGGGAAAGGAAGACAGTCACTGAAAAACAACAGTGGGAGACAGGAACCCCAAGGATTTTATTCTTGCACTAGTTGCCTACAGCCTAAGAAGAGTTGCCCCCTTCCTCCTCAGGCTCCACAGGTTCTGGGCAAAAGCCAGATATCTGTCCAGCTCCACCTTACACAGACTCAGCTTTGCCTCTGTCCAGAATTTCTGCCTGTTCCAGGTGTGCTGACATAAAGCCTCTAAGCTTGCCCAGGGAGGGAGCAAAAGCTCCAGCTGTCCTGCTGCAGCCCTTTGGTCTATGGCAGTTGGTCTTTACCGCAATCACTAGACTGTGGAGAATCCATTGTCTTCCTGAAATCCTCCAAAAGCCACAGATTTCTCTAGAGAGGAGCTGTAGCTCCTTTCTCAGCATTCTGTGACTAAGAAACTGACAGGAAGAACTCCCTCACATGCATCTACAGAAAAGGAAAAGAGGCAAATATCCAGTCTGGTGTCACCCAGCATGAGAACATCAAAGCCCAACACTGCCTTCCCAACAAAACAAGTCAAGGATACGGAACAGGTCGAAGGCTCCAGCCACGTAGATGATGGTGTCCCCTGGCTGTGGCTCCTTCCCTGATGCAAACTGGATGATCTTCTGGGAAGTCTGCAGGAACTGGGAGACACCAGTCCAGGGACTGCGACCTTTGGGCCCCTGTGGAAACACACATCAGGCACAGCTTCTTTTCGGCTCCGTGAGGGGGTTTGGACAACACAGAGCGCCGCGCCGGACAATCTGCTCGCCTGAGTTTGCTGGCAACTGCCACAGCTCCCAGCAGCTTGGACTTTCTACATTCCTGGCACCAAATATTTAGGCAATCTCACAAAAGCCCTTTATGCTCTGTCTAAATCGTCCCCTCAACAGCCAGCTAAGGAGATGCCAAGAGGAAAGCTCAGGAAGGAGGAAGGCAACAGGGAAGGCTCGGATTTCCAGGAGAGGCAAGGTGTGCTCAGGAAACAACACACGACCTACCTATGCTCTGCCAAGCCTCAGGGCACCTGTCTGGCCTGGCCAGGAAGGGATCACCTCAGCTCCGAGGACGGAGCTCGGTCCCCACCGCGTGGCAGTTGTGCAAACAGCCCGAGTCACCCGCTCTGCTCCCCAAAGCTGCTCCACGGGACTTGGCAGCACGCAGACAGTGCAGCCGAGGCCAGGGCAGGCCCTGCAAAGGGCAGCACGCAGACAGCTCAGCTGTCAGGGTCATGCAGGGTACCCAGCGCCCTGATACGTTCTCCCCAGATCCAAGCCCCAGGAAACGGCTGCGCTGGAGCGACGTAACGCCTGCTTGAAGAACGATGTGGTGGGGAACTAAGGATGATTCAGCCAGGTCAGCAAACCCCCAGGGAGTAAAAGACTCACTCAAGCTGCAGGTGCAGCTCGTTAACCAGGGACAATCCAGCTCCAGGGAAATAAACGGGGCTGTGGCTCTGCAGAGCTGGAACCGACAGCTGGAACACTGAGAGGGCTGTGCTGCCCTCGTGAGCTCTGCAGCACAGCACCTGGCCACATCCCTGCTGCATCAACACCTCCCAGACCTAACACAACACCTTCACAAACAACATGAGCACTGACAGGAGCATCCACAGAGGCTGTCCTTGGGCTGGGGCCGAAGGCACTCGGGTCCCAAGGGAAGCAACAGGAAGGAATTCACAAGCAAGGAAGGGCCTGGCCTGGGCTCGGAGGGTGCAGCAGCCCCAAGTCCTGCGGAGGGACAGCGCCCGCGCTGCCTGTGCCACACCTGCACCCGCTGCTGCCTTACGGGGGCAGCAGATATTCACCGAGACATTACTGCTATGGGTGGGGGACAAACAGCCTGCAACAGGCTAGAAAGCACACTGGGAATCCTTCTCAGGCAGGACAACAACCAGACATCCATGACCAGAACTCACGTTACCTTCCCAAAGTTGTCAGTGTGCTTCCGATAGTCTAGGTCCTCATCCTGAAGGGAGATAAAGAGTCAAAACGTTTAAGCACACGCACAGCTCATCCATCCGAGATATGCTTGTGTGTGGGGAGTGCTGGGGGGCCAGGCTCGAGCCACACACCATGGATCCAAGGCACCAAATGCTGACAAACTGGTTAATACCTAAACCAGTCGTGTCCAGCATTAGTCAGAGGAAATGTGTCCTTATCTGATCCCAGCCTGGCACCACCAGAGATGGTGGTTCTTGCCCAACCTGCAGCCCCAACAGCGCTGCACACCTGCATTCTCCCTCATCCAGGTGAGCCCCTGACAGGACAGTGTCCCTCCTCCTGCCAAGGACCAGCCAGGCTCAGGTCTCTGCGGCAGCCAGCAGCACCAGACAGATCTCAGTGTGAACTCATATGTTACAGCTAAGCCAAACTAGCAGCTCAGCACACTGAAACATCTCCCTCTGCCCCTGAATTCTCCTGTGGGTCTCTCATCTTTTCCCTGCACTTATCCAGGTGATTCCACTCACGGATTTCATCATAACTCAGTAAATTCAACCCATTAACTGACGTAAAGCCACATCCTTTACTCTTCCCTGGTTAGGTTGACTCCCGACGAGAGAGTGAGCTGAGGAGACTCAAGAAACGTCTGATCAGACTGGAGACAGTAGAAGGCAGAAGCATGGAGCTGAGTGGGAAGGGACAGGAGTTTCCAACTTTGGCAGCACTGGTCTGACAGATGAATGTGGCTGCACTGTGTCGTGTCACCCTGGCAGAAGCCATGGGCCAGCCTGCAGCTCCTCCAACGTTCCCGAAGCCCACACTGATCACGAGGGATCACAGCCCTTATCCTGCCACACCTTCCCAGTGCAGCACGTGCTGGGATCACACTGTGATCTCAGACTGACTTAAGCAAACACAAGCAGGTTGTTTTGCTGCCACTGCCCATAATCAGCTTGTCTGTTCTCCATTCACATGGGAGCCAGGCCCAGGAGCTCTACTGCTGTTTGGGACAGCAGCAGCGAAGAGCTGTCACGTGTCCTGGACTCCACCTCCCACCCCAAGCCCTCTGACTCACTATATTGCTGTGGTGAGCCTTAGTCATGAGCAGCATGCGGCCAACGAGGTCGGTGGTGGACACACCTTGGGTGCGTTTGCATTCCCTGCAGGAGACAAGCAAAGGATGAAGCAGAAGCCATGGAGCATATACCTCTGTCTCCCCACCATTCCCACAGGAACACCTGTGACACCTGGTGAAGCCAAGCCAGTGGCTGTCCTGAGGAAGCCTTCCTCCTCCCTGCTCCTGAGATCAAGTACAGCACTCATTTCCTGAGCCTCTGGATCACCCTCATGCCACAGCAACTGCTCATGTGAGAACACTTCCCTCACCCAGACTTCCCAACAGAGACAACTCCCAGTGAGGCTTCAGACCCAGAACCAGCACCTGCTGGGACCCAGATGGCCCAGAGACTCTGCCCAACACAGGGTAAGAAGGGAAGCAGCAACAGGCTACCTGTATCGCCCTGCTGTCTTCACTTCCTCATAGGTGTCCTTGCCATCAACAGTTAAGGTGATATCATCTGCAGAAAGAGAAAAGTCTCAGCACTGTGCCCCAAGCCCTCCTGCACAAAAGCAGCAGCTGAGCAGGTCCCACGCACAAGCCAGACCAGAACTCTGCAGTCCAAATCCCTGTGCGTACACGGGGGATACATCCCGTGCCCCACAGACATGCCAGGGGTTTGCAAGGCTATTGTGTCTGTGGAGACAAGGATGTTCCTCGATGCTGAAGGCCACTGCTCATCTGTCCCACTGCCTTTTAGCGTGCAGAAAACCTGAGCTGGGTGCCCTCAGGCTGATCCAGAAGCAGGCACAGCTGATTACTGTCTGGGTGACAATAAACAGGCACCAACCCCCTCCAGTGTTAAAAGTGCCTGTTAGCTCCTCTACGTCTGGTGTTAGCTGTCGGTTCATGTTACAAGTTCTCAGTCAATGGAACAGTTATCCAGCTGAGAGCTCTTCCCCTCAGCGATGGCACTGCCACAGTGACATCCAGCAACCCTTCCACAGGGATAATTCCAGTTCATCTCTGGCACATAATTCCCATCTCCCTCTGCAGAAACACCTCTCACCCACTTCTGGTGACAGTACAAAACCTTCCAAGTGAAAGCACAGCTGGCTTCCCTTTCCCAAAACAGCTGGAGGGCAGCTGTGTCCCACACAGTCAGTGGCTCAGTCCTGCTCAGAGAGGTGCAGGAGCTCTCCTAAACCCCCACACCTTCCCCTCAGGGCACAGGGACAGGAGGGAACACACTGCCAGTACAGCTCAACATGCCAGGAGAGAGGCACAAACAGGTGGGTTGTTGTCACCTTCCCAGGTAAGATCAGCTATTTCCAAACAGCTTTTGCACAAGCACAACCTGGCAAAGCTGCAGGTGCAAGGGTATTGCTCAGGGAGAAGCATGAAGTGATTTGGCAGAGGGGATGGGTGAGAAGTCTCGAGCTTCCCTGCTGTCATAACCCCCCACCAAGCCCTGCAACAGGTCACATACCCCAAACATGTTCAGGGCAGACAATGAAGTTAACCAATGAAGTTAATCTGATAACCACCATGTCCACATGAAAAGGCAAATCTATCTCATAAAGATTAAGGATTTATTTACATTTATGAAACACTTGCTTATTGACAGCAGGTGGCTGGGATCAGGTGAGATACACCAAATGAGTGCAAAGACTACTCCTGGTCAAACTAACAAAATTCCTCCAGAGGGGCAGGGAGGAGGGGCTGAGGCTGAGTGAGCGTCAGCAGCAGCCAGGAAGGGACAGAGTCCCACAGCAGGAATGTCTCAACACTGGTTCTCTCCAGTGACTGTACTCTGAAAAGTGTTCACAGTAAGAATTAGGTCTCTGGCCACACAGTCAGCTGAGCCCCTGAACAGCTTATCAGCTGGATAAAGAGAGAAGCTCTTCAGATCTGATCTCATCCCAGGATAAGCAGATACAAACACGGTTGTATTTCTGCACATTTACCTTTTTAACAGTGTTCTCCACATTTAGGTTCTCCAGTGACTGTACTCTGAAAAGTGTTCACAGTAAGAATTAGGTCTCTGGCCACACAGTCAGCTGAGCCCCTGAACAGCTTATCAGCTGGATAAAGAGAGAAGCTCTTCAGATCTGATCTCATCCCAGGATAAGCAGATACAAACACGGTTGTATTTCTGCACATTTACCTTTTTAACAGTGTTCTCCACATTTAGGTTTTGTAAATGGCTTTCCCCTTGGCACAAATTTCTGATGGTGCTAAGGACAATCTCTGGATAATTGTCAAACAACACACTTCACCTTGGTAAATGAAAGGGTTAGTTAAAACTCAAGGCCCTGGCCACTCTCAGGATGCTGAGCACACCAACATGTTTGTCCAGACCACCAGACCAGGAGCAACTGTGCTGCCCAGTGCAGGCACTGGGAAGGCAGATCAGCCTCTTCCAGGGGCACACCCTGAGCCCCAGTGCAGGTGCTGGGAGGGCAGATCTGCACACACCAGGCACACCCTGAGCCCCAGCTCTGTCCAGGCCGTCACTCGGGTTGCAGCAGGGCACACAGGAGCAGGGCAGCCCTGTGTCAGCACAGCCACTGCCCCCAACTCCACTCACCCCCGTGCACACAGAAGTCGCAGTTGTACTTATCCAGGGTTTCCAGCGTGGTGACATAGGGAGCGCCAGGAGCAATCTCATCCACCCACTTGATGGCTTGCACCATTTTGTACCTCTCCTCCTGTGTAAACACGGGGGGGCCCTTGTGTTTGGCAATCTCCTCTGGGGGAGAAACAAAAACCCAGTTAGAAGCACATCCTGTAGCTTCAAAGGCTCTTGGCCACAGCAGCCTCACTCATTCCAAGAGCAGGTGAATTTCACTGTGGGCTTATCCTCAGCTTGGGATCTGTTTGTGGTGGGAAGGAAGCCCCAGGCAGATCAGAAAAGATTTTGATTCCATTGCATTTCCTAAGGGCGTAACAAAGGCTCTGGAATTCACTCAGAGGGCAAAAGGTCTCAGTGCTTCCTGGTACTCAGGTACTTCCTCCTGGGAGGATGAGCAGGGCCTCCTGACATTCCACCCCCCCCCCCCC